ACTATGCTGTACACCAGAGGTTAACACACTGTAAACTGACTATACTCGAATTTTAAAAAAGAATAAAATTATTATTTCTTTAGTGAATAACTGTAACATATATAATTCCTTCAAAAAAGACAAAAGAAAGGAATTAACATGGGGCTATAGAATTAAATGGATGTGTGACTTGAAGAAACTTGCTTGATTCACTGGGACCTGTCTCCTCCTGCATAAAAGGGGGAAGTTTGTCTTGAAGATTAAGTTAGACAAAGCCTGCTAGATGTGTGGCTGAATTCCTGGTAGATTGAAGGTATTGGTTGTCCTTTTCTCTCTTCTCCATTTGGCTTTTGAGAACCTTGAGGATCAAGATCTTACCTCAGTTGCCTGTATATTCTGGATGTCTGTGCAAATAGAAGCTCAGTTACATTTGCTGAAAGAATGAGTGACTGAACAAGCCACATTTGTTCATTGCTAGTGGATAAACATATGTTCACATATGTTCATTGTTAATGGGTAAATGAGAGATGCCTTTCTGGCTTCCACCAGGAAGATCAAATGCTTCTGGTTTGTGAAAACAATCAATCAAAGAAAACCAGAGATCTATGCCAGAGGGATACAGATTTTTAGAGCAGGAGGACCCAACACACAGATCTGATGTTGGTGAGCCCCAGGCTCTGCTAGTGGAAGGGCTGCCACGGGCAGGGGTGTGGGTACCGGCAAGTGAAACTGAGAGCCCGGTCTCCAGGCGGAGAGACTGAACATACCAACGGCCAATGGCCAGGCTCTACATGACAATGATGATAAAACTCTGACCCCCAACCCTCTGCACTAAATGACTTGGGAAGCCACCACCTCTGCAGCCATCAGCCCAGAATGGTTAGAACTTGGCCACTGATGCCAACTCTAATTTTTGCCCCCACTGCCTCCTCTACTTCCAGCTCAGGATCAGGCAGAGAAAGCCAAATATGTTCTCTAAACCAGTCACATAAAATGCTCCATTTCTAGTTAGCCTGCTTTCAGCTTCCCCATGCCAACACTCTTCAGTCAGAATGTACCTGCAATCTTCCCCTTTTTCCGCTATAGAGCTTTCCCACCCCTCTGCCTGCCTTTGAGTCTCCGCCAAATGCTAGTGATGGCAGCGGACTTCCTTGCTATGTAGGAAACCTTCGATAAATAGCCTCTGTTCTCACTTCAGTGGTCTTAGTTTATTTCTACAAGGCCTCTTCCACATTTCAACTAGATACTAGAAATACGTTATATATTGGGATTTATATGTAAAGTTTCATTTAAAAAAAATTCTACTGCTAAAATTAAAAAAAAATCACCAATGTAGATTAATGCCAAAAGCCAAACTTCTCAAGAATTCTGAGGAAAGATACTCAGCTTACATTAAACTAAGCAAAAAAAAAATGTCCAGACAGATGGCAGCAAAATGAGGCCAAGACAGGGCTGGGTATGGTCAATGGACTGAGGCTTCCAGAGATCTCTGTGGGCTTTTTTTTTTTTCCCCATAAGCAAGGCACACCTGACTAGAAACTGCAGGGACTGGAGTGCCTAGGTGGAACACCCCCTTATCAGCCTTTTCTCAGCACTAGGCTGTGGTTAACCACAGTAGTAAGTGTATTGAAATGTCCACCTGCCAGCAGTGCAGACAAATGAACCAAATACATGAATAAGGTCTTGGGGGATTTAAAGAAGAGGAAGATGGCTGGAAAGTTTCCAGCCCCTACCTCCAGGAAAAATGACATCTTGGATGTTGGCATTGGAGCCCTGCCCATTTACCCATGACCATTTGCCTGTCTGAAATCCTAAAATTCCCAGCATCACTTTATACAGCTTTCAAATCTGTTTAGAAGAGGTTACAGCTGCATGTCTCAAACTGCTGAATGTTAATAGATGTCTCGGACAAAAAAAAAAAAAAAAAAAAAAAGGAGCTTTGCAGTCAAGTTTGGGAAATACTGGGTAAAACACGTTAAACAGATTCTTTTTGCCAGGACTCTGTAATACTTTCAATATGCTAATATATGTTATGAATTTGCAAGAAGGGAATACAGTATACAGCATTTTCCAAACTTATTTAACCATAGAAATTGGTTTCTTGCTCCTATTTACATCTCCCTGAACATCATTCTATCACATACAATTTTGGAAATGCAGGTTTGAGATAATGCTACTTTTCAGAGGAAGACCATTAGCTGGCTAACATCTCTTACCATCTATTGTAACTCATCAAAAGGAGGAGTAGGAGGACCCAGAGTTAGAAGTACAAGAGCACAATTTTGATGGAAGAAGGAAGAAAATAGGTCCATAAAGCAGATCCAGGGGCCAGTGGAGGTTACAGTTGGGTCTCAGGTCCACCTAGCACAGTTTAAGGATACTAGGTGTTGAATTCAAGATGGAGGAAGCCAAAAATTATCCTCACCCGGGTCATAATTTTTCTGAACTAGCCCTAGGATCATTATCTCTAGGAAGACAGAGTGGACAGCAGAATCACTGTATGAGAGGAAAATAGTGGTTCAGGTGATTGATTCTTTTTATAGCACTTCACCAAAGACGGTACGTGACACAACTTGTCCGACATCCCAGTAAAGCCACTTTTCCTTTTGCAACCACACGATGAAGTCTTCACGAGGCCGAAGGGAAGGGAAGGATAGGGGAGGGAAGTGTTAGGATTCCACGCTGACTTACTTTAGAATCACACAGCCTGTTCCTGCAGGTGGCGCTATCCAGAACACCTGGATCCTTGTCCTCCTCCGTGGGGTGCTTTCGGTGACCGCAACAGGGCAATTACTCATAAACTGTGTTTCTTCTTCATCTATTATCTATGGAAAACCGGTGGAAAAATAAACACATTGAAATGCAGTGTCACTTTGGGAAGTTACCGTGTTGACCTCCATAATTTTACTTCTAAATCTGTCATTTTCTGTTTGCAGCTCTATGCCCCCAGACACCAGAATAGTGCCTGGCATAGAGTCGCACTCAATGCTTGTCGAACTAATGGAAGGGCAAGGATTTTGCTCCTGTTCTCTGCTCTCTGGGACCAGGATCTGGGGTCAGCACTTTGAGGAACAGGCCACATTGGGTGATGATCTTACTCATTTCACTACAACAACCTGTGTCCCACTTCAGGGAAAGAGGAGGGTAGGGGAGGCTAATCCAAAGCAAACACTCTATACCCAGACATTGTGATTCAATTTTATAACCTGAAATTAAAATGTTACTTAGGAGGAAGTGTACCAAAGCACATAAAGTCACCCAGCTTTATAGCACTGTTTATTCTTGCAGTCTCTCCTTTTTTAATTTGTGCTTTATATTAGTGTTCTCCCAAGTTAACCATCAAGGTTTCCTATGACACTGCAAAAAAAGCTGGCAGCCGTTCCCATTCCCCGAGGCTATTCTCAGCACTTCCCCTACTTGCTTCTGGGTCTGCTACCAGGACTTGCCCATCCCTCTGGTAGAACCATAGACTATTCCACCTAGAAGGATCTTTTGGGGGAAATCAGCTAAATCCAATGGATCTTAAATGCCAGCTCCAACTGACTGATAGTAGCTGTGTCATGTAGCATTGATAACATGGATAGATAACATTTATTGAGTGTTTAGTATAGGCTAGGTATTAAGCTAAGTGCTTCATCTGAATTACTCATTTAATTTTCAAATACAGTTTAACAAGATCATTATATCCATATTGCATTTATTTTCCTTAAAACATTTTTTAATTCCTCTTTTTGTTATAGGAAAGTGGGTAAAAAAATTGTCACCTCATATTTTTATCACTGGACAAAGCAAAAGCTACATTTTGTTTATCTCTACACTCTTTATACTTCTCCCATTTTCCTCTTCTCTTTAGCACTCCTGAGTATTTAACATAGGTCCTTCTGAATATATACATATATACACACACACATACGTACATATATATGTATATAATTTACTTGAAGTTACATAGAATTGTTTTGTATTTTAACATTCCTTTCACTTAATCTTACGACTTTGAGATATGTCAGTGTTACTACATGGGAATGTAACTCTCTGCTTCCAACTACCTCTTAGGACTCCACTGCATGCACAGACCACATTTTACTTATCCACTCGCCCAGTGAGGGGGCACTCAGCTGATGTCCAGCTCTCTGCCTCCACAATCATTGCTGTAATGCAAATCCTCCTGCTGCTCAGCTTAGGCAACTATATGAGAGTTTCTCAGCAATATAAACCATGTAGTGGGATTGCTTGGTAGTTGGGTTACAGATCTAATCATATTAATTTCACTAAGTACTGCCAGATTGTCCTGCAGAATGGCTGTACCTACTGTTCTGTATAAGCTATGCACAAGTGTTCCCATTTCCCCACATCCTCACTAGTACTTGTGACGACTGGACTTTCAAATGGCTTCCAATCCAATGGATGTAAAGTAGTATCTTGTTTTCATTTAATACTAGCAAATTTGAGCATCTCTCTATAAATTTATCAGGCTTCTCCTGTGAACTGCCTACACAATCTTAAACGGTGGATTTTTCTGTCAATTTATAGGACTTTCTAGATATGAGTTGCTCATCTATGCAAGTATCTTTCTGTCACCTAGACATTTATCTTACCTGTGGAATTCTTTTATAACTTTCATCTGGTCAAATTTATCAATACTTCTCCTGTGGCTTGCACTTTTTTTGATCTTGCCTAAACAACGGAGATCATAAAGATATTCTCTAGTATTTTCTTCCATTAGCTTATAATTTTATTTTCACACTTAGTTCTTTAATCCATTTAGAATTTACTTTTTAATTTGATGGAGAAGGGATCCAACTCCACTTTCTCCATACGGCGAGCTACTTTTTAAAAATTAGTAAATTAAAATTTTTAGAGGAGTTTTAGGTTCACAGAAAAATTGAGCAGAGTGAACAGAGAGTTCCCATATACCCCCTGTTCACACACATGCACGACCTTCCCCATTATTAACATCAGGCACCAGGGTGAGGCATTTGTTAGAAATGATAAGCCTACACTGACACATCATCACAAAGGTCCATAGTTTACATTAGGGCTCATTCTTGGTGTTATATATTCTGTGGGGTTTGACAAATGTATAATTATATATATATATCCACCATTGTAGTATTGTACTGAATAGCTTCACTGCCTTAAAAATCCTCTGTGTTCTGCCTATTCAGTCTCCCCTCCACCAACCCCTGGCAATCATTAATCTTTTGTTGTAATTGCTTATTAGCTCCAGGAAGTTTTTGGTCAACTCTTTCAGATTTTTCTATGTAGACAATCATGTCATCTGCAAAGACAACTTTATTTCTTCCCTTCCCAATCTGTATACCTCTTATTTCCTTTTCTTGTCTTGTTGCATTAGCTAGGACGCCCAGTATGATGTTGAAAAGTAGTGGTCAGAGGGGACATCCTTGCCTTGTTCTTGATCTTTGCAGCAAAGTCTCAAATTTTTTGTAGCCTCTCAAGTAAGTATGATGCTAGGTGTAGGTTTTCTCCATGCTCTTTATCAAGTTAAGGACATCTATCTATACTCCTAGTTTGCTGAGAGTTATCATGAATAGGTGTACATTTTGTCAAATGCTTTTTCTGCATCTACTGATATAATCATGTGATATTTCTTCTTTCGCCTGTTGATGTGATTGATTGATTGATTGATTTTCAAATGTTGAACCAGCCTTGCATGCCTGGGATAAACAGAATGAGTTAGGAGGTAGAGAACTGGTACAATTTCTTCCTTAAATGTTTGACAGAATTCACCAGTGAAACCATCTGGGTCTGGTGCTATTTTGGAAGGATATTAATTATTGACTCAGTTTAAGAGTTGTAGACCTATTGATACTGTCTATTCTTTATTGTGTGAGATTTTACAGATTGTATCTTTTAAGGAATTGGTCCATTTCATCCAGATGACCAAATTTGTGAGCCTACAGTTGTTCATAATACTCCTTTATTATTCCTTTAGTGTCCGTGGGATCTGTAGTGATGTCCCTTACTTCATTTCTGGTATTAGTAATTTGTGTCTTCCCTCTTTTTTTCAGTTAGCTTGGCTAAGGGCTTATCAATCTTACCTTTTCAAAGAGCCAGATTTTGGTTTTGTTGATTTGTCTACTAATTTTTTTTCCAATTTCATTGATTTCTGGGTTTGTTGTTGTTGTTGTTTTGCTTATTTTAGATGTAATTTGCTTTCCTTTTTCTAGTTTCTTAAAGTGGAAGCCTAGACTATTGATTTTAAATTTTTCTTCTTTTATAATATGTACATTCAATGCTATAAATTTCCCTTAAGCACCACTTTCATTGCATCTCACAGATTTTGTTAAGTTGTAGTTTCATTTGCATTTAATTCAAAATATTTTAAAATTTCTTTTGAAATTTCTTCTTTGACCCACATGTTGGTTAGAAATGTGTTGTTTAACCTCCAAATATTTGGGGATTCTCTATCTTTCTGTTATTGATTTCTAGTTAAGGCCATCAGTGGTTTCTGCAACTCTTAACCCAATAGATACTATGTGGTCCTTCTTCTTGAAGCACTCTCTTTCCTTGGCTTCTATGCCACAGCTCCTCTCTACTCTCTCCCCACCTCGACTTTCCTGTCCACAATCTCTGCTTCCTTTTGGCTGCTGATCCTCCTCTACTGGCCTGTAAATTTGAAATTTCAAGCTCAAAGCTCAGTCCTAAGCCTTCTCCTGTTCTGACTTGATTCCATCTCTGTAGCTGATCTTATTCCATTCATAGCTTTAATTGCTACCTATGTGTGGCTGATTCACAAGTCTGTATTTCCAGTCTTCGCCACTTATCTGAGTTCTAGGCTAATGTATCTCCAAACTTATCTTCTACTTGCATTTTCTCTTGGATAAAACTTACCTCAGATCCACCTTGTCAACCACTAACTTCCCTCAAACCTGATCCTACTCCAATTGTGTAAGTCAGAAATGTTGGGTCCTCCTTGGCTCTTCCTTCTCTCTCACCCTTCGTATCCAAATGCTGTCCATGTTAACTTCCAAGTATCTCTTGAATTCATATTACCATCCCTACTATCACCATAGACTAATATCCCTATTACTATTGTAGACTAAGCTACATCATTTTTAATCTGAACTAATTAACTGGTCTTTATACATCTTCTCATGCCTCTCTTCAATTTATTCTCTATACTGCAAACCTTTTAAAAACACCAGTAAAAGAATGTCCTCTTTGGAACAATTCAACAGCTTTTCAGTATTTCCAAGACCAAGACTGAAATCCTTAGGAGTCTAGTCCCTGCCTTCCTACCTCTTTAGCCTCATCTGGTGCCATCTCCCTCCTTGCTTTCTCCACTCAGCTGCTCTGTTTTTGTGTTTCCTCCTGCCAAATCCTGGCCAATTGCTAGTTCTTTCCTCCTCCTTCCTTCCCTCCCTCCCCACTTCTTCTCTTTCTTCCCCCCTCAGCTCATTCATCCTTTTCATTGAAAAGCCTTCCCTGTCCTCTTTCACTAGGGCAATTTCCTCCCTTATGTGTTATATATCCATTCCTCTCCTTCCAGGCACTTTGGCTCTCTTTTAATTTTACAAGCATTTGTTTGAGTCCTTAATTAACGTCTACTTCTCTAATGATCTGTAAACTACATGAGGGCAGACACTAGGTCTAGTGTTTTTTCCTCATCATTTCTTCACACTTAGCACAGTGCCTGATACATAAGAGGTCTGCTCTGAAGAACGAGGTGTACTTGCCTCTTCCCTTTGGCTATGAGATGGCTGACTCTACCTCCTGCCTGCAATGTCTGCTTTTGCTCCCTATTTAGATAACTCCCTGGACTTCCTTTTGACTTTGGGTTTTGTTTTTCTAGGTGACTATT